AACTTTCTCATATAAATTCCGTTTTGTATTTAAATCTCACAGTATCCTTATCTCATAATTGCACATAGCCATGCCAAATTTCACGCTCCAATGACTTTGCACAACATAAATAGCGCCCTCTAAAGTTCTGGGAATTGGCTTTCTCTCTGTGGCCGTATCTCCATAATGGCTTGGCAAACCCGTACCCTTTTTTGGATTTAGATACTTGAAGATATGCCCTTTCCAGCCATATACAAAATTATATACCCTATCACTGACCAAATTTGAGAAAATTGCCCTCCAAATTCGCCATTTTCAAGAAAATTCCAAAATAACTTCAACTTGCTCTAAAATTACGATCCTTTGACCTACGTCAATAAAACTTGGCACACACATGTATTTATATACGTGACAACTGTCCGCAAAGTTTGGTAAAATTTGATTATGTCAGCGCAAAGTTATCTCAAAAAATGATGTATTTACTATGCATTGCGTGATAGCGCGTTAAATGCGTGCAATACATTGCGCGAAGATAACAATGGTGTCAAACTGACCGCAATGAAGTGCCCTTTCGAATGATACCAAGTATAGTATATGTTCACACAGAAAATTGTGAATAAATCGCATTTGAACAAAGATCACTACACGAATTCCGCCGAGTTTCCGCCCGAATCTAACACGTATCGGCTATGACGTCATTTTTTCAGACTGCTTTTCGCCCCTTAAACGTCCTTTTTTTTCCTTGAAAATTTGCAGTGACATGCCGAGTTCCAATACGCAGGGCACCTCATGGCCGGATTTTTAAAATTGGTCAAGGGGGCCATTTAAGACGCCATTTTGTCCTATAAATCTATTTTACATCACGTGTTTCGATAGGATTATCATGGGAAAAAAGAGAGTGGTTTACAATAACATTCATGAAATTCTCTTTCTAATGATACCAAATACGGCTCATAAAGAGACATAAAGAGAGAGAGAAAAAACAATTTAACTCCGGTCATAATACAGATCCTGTACGTTTTCCGCTCATGCATTACACGCATTGTCTATGGGCATATCGGGTTCACGCTTTTGACCCCCAGAACGATCTTTATTGCAATGACGAACATGCACCAAATCCCCTTGGTTTTTGCACGCAGTGCTTGCGAGCCCTTTCCACGTCCTTTCCCATATCCCAATTTCTTTCAAACTTCGTAGGCATAGTCACTACCATCCCATCAAGGTCACTGTTGAGGCCTTTCTTTCGCCCTACCTATCTCCAATATCACAGAAGCTACAGACTTCGTACAAATTGCTCTGGATAGGGCGAGAGAAGCTCTTTCGTTTGACACGTAGAAACATGGCGTCATTGCACGCACATCGTTGGGCTTGCAACGAACACTCACGTATCACGTATCACGTGATCACGTGATCACGTATCACGTATTGCGCCCTTTCGTGAAACAGGTCACCCAAATCTACGAAGTGTTGGGTTACGTGACCCAACAAATAGTTAATTTGCTATATGCAATCTACGAAAGCTCACGTAAATTGACGCTGGCGTTTAAAAAAATAATGCAAATTGTCATTGAGAAGAGACTAATAGCAAAAAAGCTGCTTCACGTCAGAATATGTTGTGTAACTCTGGCGCGGATCAAGGCCCCCCCCCCCCCCCGGAAAAAAGGAAAAGGAAAAAACAGAAAAAGAGAGAAGAGAGAGAGAGAGAGAGAGAGATTGAAAAGAAGGGAAAGAGGAGAGAAAGGGAAATGGAAGAAGAGAAAGAAACTGGGGAAAAAAAAAGAGATCGGGGGGGGGGGGAAGGGCCTTGCCTCCCAGTTCTTACCACCCCCCACCCCCCGACCCCCCCCCCCCCCCACAGAAAAAAATAAGAGAGAAGGAAGGACAGTGAAAGAAAACAGGAAAAAAGGAAGAAGAGAAAAAAATAAGGGGTATATCGGTTACAAGTTTCCCGCCAACAAGTTGTAGTTCGGGGGGGGGGGCTCTTGCCCCCCGCCCCCCAAAAATGGGGGAAGGAAAAGAAAGGGTGAAAAGAGGGGAGAACAGTTGCGATTAATCCCGCCAACAACCTGTGGATCGGGGGCCGAAAGGGCCTTGCCCCCCCCCCCCCCCCTTGCAAACCTGAAACAAAGAGAAGGAAGGGAAAGGAAAGGAAAAAAGAGAGAAATGAAAGGAAAAGGAGATAAAGGGAAGGAAAAAAAGAGGAAGAAGAGAACAAAATAAGGGGGATATCAGTAACAAGTTTCCCGCCAACAAGTTGTAGTTCGGTGGGGGTGGGGAGGCTCTTGACTTGGGGGGGGGGGGGGGCGAAAGCAGAGGCGGATCCAGGGGGGCCGGGGGCCCGCCCCCCCCCCCCCCCCCTGGAAAAAAAGAAGGGAAAAAAAGAAGGGGAAAAAAAGGAAAAAAAGGGGGAACAAAAAGAAGGAAAAAAAGGAAGGAAAAAGAGAGAGAGAGAGAGAGAAGGAAAGGGAAAGAGGAGAGAAAGGGAAAAGAAAAGGGGAAGAAGAAGATCGGGGGCGTCCTAGGCTGTTGCCTCCCCCCTCCCCCCCCCCCCCCAAATAAAAAAAATAAGAGAGAAGGAAGGAAATGGAAAAAAAGGAAAAGAGGAGATAAAAGGAAGGAAATTGGAGAAGATGAAAAGAAAAGAAGGGGTATTAGTATCAAAATATGTTCATCTGACAGCAGGCGCGTGGCTAGGAGGCGGTGGGGGCGCCATCCCCCCCCCCCCAAAAAAAAAGCCGGCCAAAAAAAAGAGAGGATTGTAAAGGAAGAGGACGTAGGAAGAAAAGGGAGCAGACAAAAAACACTTTTGAAATTCAGACAAAGATTTAAGAATCGAAAACGGTACAACGATTGTCTTCTTTCTCTAATAATTTAATGAAATATCAAAGCCTTCGCGCAGGAGGGGGGACTGAACTGAGACAAGGAATACAAGACGAGAACGTTACAGCGAACCGTCTTCTTTCTTAAATATTTTAATGAAATGTCAAAGCTTTTGCGCTTCGCGCGGGAGGGGGGGGGGACTGAATTGAGACAAGGGATAAGAGTCGAGAACGGTACAACGAATCGTCTTCTTCTCTAATAATTTAATGAAACGTCAAAGCTATTTCGATCTTCGCGCAGGAGGGGATGGACTGAATTCAGACAAGGATTAAGACTTTAAGAGTCGAGAACGGTACAACGAATCGTCTTCGTTCTCTAATAAATAAATGAAACGTCAAAGCTTCCGCGCTTCACGCAGGAGAGGGGGGGGGGGGGGGGGGAACTGAATTGATCCAAGGATTCAGAGTCGAGAACGGTAAGCGAATCGTCTTCTGAAACGTAAAAGCTTTCGATCTTCGCGCAGGAGGGATATCAAGGGGGAGCTGAATTCAGACGAAGATTATTTTCGAGAACGGTACAACGATTCATCTTCTTTCTCTAATAATTTAATGAAACGTCAAAGCTTTCGCGCTTTGCGCAGAAGGGGGGTGGGGGAACTAAATTTAGACAAGGATTAAGAGTCGAGAACGGTACAACAAATCGTCTTCTTTCTCGAATAATTTAATGCAACGTCATAAGCTTCGCGGAGGATGGAGGGGGAAACTCGCCCCTCCCTGCACTACCCCCTAGTTCGTCACTGCTGGTCACCATTACCTACCAATATTTGGCTCGCATAATTTCAAATTAATACAGACCGATAGGAAAAATTATGCCTTACATGAGTAGGTTCATATGCTATTTTTTATCCCATAATGAGAGAGAGAGAAAGAGAGAGATGCAAGTGGAGAAGGCTGAAGATTATAGAAATAATTAAATTGCAAGAAAATTGAAATGAAAGGAGCAAGATAATAGGCCTATTACTTTCCTTTCTCTCTATTTTTTTTCTTAAGTTTATCTTTGGTTTCTTTTTCACATTTTTGTTTCCCTACTCATATGCCAGGCGCGGATCCAGGATTTTCCAATAGGGGGGGGGGGGGGGGGGGGGGGGGGGGGGGGGGGGGGGGGGGGGGGGGG